GGGCTCTTCTGTTCGCCCTTAACTGGATATCGTGTGTGGCTTCTTGTCTCCTCGCTGTTACTCAGCCTTTATATCATTTTGAGGCCACATCCATTCTCCTGTGCTGGTGTTTCATCATTTTTGTAGGAAAGCTCATGTGGTGAGTTGAGGTTGTTTCTAATTTTGCAAAGTTGCTCTGAGCATCTCTGTGGATGGTCCTTACTTTAGTCAGGACTCTTTGGTAGCAAGTGATGGAGACGGCTGATGAGCCAAGGGAATCTGGACTCCTGGGTCCCTGCGCTTCCTGGGAAGGCCCCGCTCAGCATCCCTGAGGGGACCTTGGGTCGATTTTGTCGTACCCGCACCAGAGATTTCCCATCCTTTGCTAATGTCCTGGATGTAAAATGAGACTTCAGTGTTGCTCTGATTCTGACAACAGAGCACTAAGATGCCTGTGGGTTTATTTGTCAGGGCCGTTTTCCCTCGTGGCCATCAGCTGTGTTTATCCTTCAGCTCCCTGCTCCTGGGGGACGCTTCCAGACTCTGCCGGGGGGGGGTGAGACAGAGGCTCTGGCCTCCACATAGCTTTCTCATTGCTCAAGAACATCCCGAGCGTGTCCCCCACTGTGCAGCAAAGGCCAGCGTGTTCTGCTCTGCGCCACGGGGCAGGCTGTGAGTCTGCGGGCTGCCCGAGCAGGCTGAGCAGTGATAAGTGAAAATCCATCACCACTCTGGAACCCGCTCAGAGGACGCTCTCGGCGGCAGGAGCACCAGCAGGACTCTGCAAAACTCAGTGAAGTCTTCGGGAGAATGATTACATTTCTGCAAATGTAGCCCGGCCAGGGAAGGTCTCTGGAGGACAGCTGACAGAAAGTGTCACAGGAGCGCAGAGGTCTTTGTCGGGGAGCGGAGGAAGAGACTGGGCTTGGCCTGAAGCCAGTGCTCCTTGTGCCTCTCTTGTGGGCGTCTATGCAGTGGGTGAAGTCCCACCTGTTTAGTTCCCTCACTAGGACAGAGCCATGAGCAAAACATGGCAAGAGTCCTTGGTATGGCAGGAGGGTGAGTCAGCGTGCTGTGCTTTGGTTTACACGCCATTGTGTGCGATGTCATGAGCTCCTTGTACCTCAGTTTACTCCAGTAAAAGGCCTGGAAAATTTGGGAATTCCTGAGTTTGCTTCACATTTCAAAAATCTTTGCGCACAGAGGATGACTTACACAATGAACAGGAAATTTTACCTGGTCAGCCATTTTCTCCCTTATCAGAACCCCAGGGGAATGAATCTGTTTGCGTAGCAGGTGCAGGTACACGTGTGGTGTTGGGAGCCCCTTTTGCAAGAGGCATGAAGGAGTTTTGGTGGAAAACAAAATTTTCTCCCTCACATGAAACTTCCTTTTCTCTAGTTTCTCTTATAAGTCAGATATCATTTGACTTCTGTTTTCCAGAAATTTCTCAAAATATATGGTTCACCAAGAGCATCCTGTCTTGTGAGAATGGGAATAGGATATAAATATGGTTTAGCATCTCTGTATGAATCCTTTAGCTTTAAAATTTTGATCCATTAAGATTTTGAGTAAAAGAAGTACAGCTGTGACCTGGCACTAATTTTGATTCTTATTATTTTTAACTGATCAACTTTCTGGTTGTCTTAATGCCTCTTACTGAATGATCTATGTTTGTCCACTGAGTCTATGGTCTATAGTATTTCATACTAAATCCTTACTCTTCAGACTATTTCCTAACTCCCTCTTGACCTTGGCTCCTCCCTGTTGGCAGTGGCTAATCATGTGTGGGAGGAGAGCTGGTCCTGCTTTGTTTCTCTTCCTTTTCAGGAGTTTCCTGAATACAATTTTGTTTTCATTATAAGAGAATGACTATTTTTTCTGGCCTGGTGCTTGAACCAAGGGATCACTGACTGCATCTCCAGCTCTTTTAATTTCTAAAATTTTGATACAGGGTCTTGTTAAGTTGCTCAGGATGGCTGTGAACTTATGATCCTCTCGTCTCACCTGCCCAAGTACTCTCAGGCTTTTGATTAGGACGAATAAAGTTGTAGTTAAATGGGGGAGGGGAACTGGCATCTGTATTAGTTTCTAGGGCTGCTTCAGCAAGTAGCTTCAAGTCATGTGCCACAGAACAACAGGTCTATAATGCCATTATAGACCATTCTAGAGGCTGGAAGTTCAAAATTAAGGTGTTGGCAGGGTGTGCTCTTCTGTAGTCTCCAAGAGGGAATCTGTTCTTTGCTTTTCTTTTAGCATTTAGAAAAAAGTTTATTGGTACTTTTTAGGTATACAGTACAGTTATATTCATCATTGGGATCTTGTACCCTTGCATGACAGATTTTGGTTCTTATTTTTTCCCCATACCCCTGCCCTCTCTTCACCCCCTCCACCCTTCCCTATTTACAAAGACTTTTTTTCCATTTTTTCCCTTCTCATATTTTTTCTTTTCCCTCCTTTCCTTTCCCCTATCCTTCCAATTTCCCCTACTGCTTTAGCGCTTTGCTTCCTATTTCACATTATCAATTATATAATTTGAACCTTATTTACACTTTTAGTTTTCACACCAGAGAAACTATTCGGCATTTACACATGTGTTTCTTACTTATTTCATTTAAGAGTATAGCTTCAGTATGCATCTGTTTAGATATAAATGACTCTAGTTTCTCATTCTTTATGACTGATTAGGACTCCATTTTATAGAAAAACCACATCTTCTTTATCTAGTCTCTAGTTGTCGGGGAATTGGGCTGTTTCCAATTTTTAGCTGTTACAAACTGTGCTACTATAAACATGGGCGTGCATATATCACTGTGGTATGATTCTTTCAATTCTTTTAGAAAGATACCCAGCAGAGGGATAACTGGGTCAAATGGGACCTCTAATCTTAGTTTTTGAGGTATCTCTGTATTGATTTCCACAGTGGTTGTACCAGTCTGCACTCCCACCAGCAGTGGAGAAGGGTTCTTTTCTCTCCCCAATCCTGCCAACATTTGTTATTGGTTAATTTCTTGATAGCAGCCATTCTTACTAGGGTGAGGTAGAATCTCAGGGTTGCTTTCATCTGTATCTCTTGAATGACTAGTGATATTGAATATTTTTTCATGTATTTATTTGCTGCTTTTACTTCTTTGTCTGAGAAATGTCTGTTCATTTCAGATACCCAATTTTGAATTGGGTCTTTATATTTGGGAGCGTGTGATTTTTTGAGTTCTTTACGTATTCTAGATAGTAGACCTTTGTCTGAGGAGCAGCTGGTAAACATATTTTCCTACATTGTAGGTTGTCTCTTAGCTCTGTTGGTGGTTTCTCTTGCAGCGCAGAAGCTTTTTAATAAGAGGAGATCCCAGTTGTTGATTCTTTGTGCTATTGAGGATTTGTTCATGAAGTCTTTTCCTATGCCAATGTTTTCGAGAGTTCTACCTAACTTATCTTCCAGCAAGTTTAGTGTTTCTGTTTTAGTATTTGTATCTTTAATCCACTTGGATTTTAGTTTAGTGCATGGTGAAAGATAAGGGTCTAGTTTTAATCTTTGGCAGGTTGAAATCCAGTTTTTCCAACACCATTTATTAAAGAGGCTCTTTCCTTCAGTGAGGATGGTTGGCTCCTTTGTCAAAGATGAGGTAGCTGAGTACATCTGGAGTTGTTTCTGCATCTTCCAATCTGTTCCAGTGATCCTCAGGTCTGTTTCTTTGCCAGTATCATGCTGTTTTTATCACAGTGGCTTTGTAGTATAGTTTCAAGTTGGGGTTTGTGATACCACTCCTGGGGTTTCTTGATCTGTAGACACATCACTGTGATCTGAGCTTCTGTCGACACAGGGTGCACTCCCTGTGTATGCCTGTGTCCCTTGTCCTCTTCTTCTGAAGACTCCAGTCCTAGCAGATCGAGGGCCCATTCTACTCCAGGATCACCTCATCGTAACTAATGACACCTGCAGTGGCCCTATTTCCAAAGAGTTACGATGTGAAGTTTTAGGAAGGATGTGAGTTTGGCAGGTCTTTAAAGTCTTTGTTGATGTTTATACATCATCCCTTGGCATCTTCAAGGACGCCACATGACACCACACTCTGTCTCAAGTCCTGTGTGTGCAGTGGCCTAGTATTTTCATTTAGCCTATGTGAAGCCTTCCATGCTCTTCCCATAACCTCTAGGCAACTGATGCTGTCTAATATAACGTGGAAGCTGTGTAAGTGTTGTTACCCTGCACCGTGTGGGAACGATGATAAAGAGTCTGTGAAGGACCAGTAGAGATGCAAGGTTTTCCATCAATATTTTCCATCTGTGATTAGTCGAACCCAAGGACGCAGAAGAGGTAATTGCAGCATCTACAGCTGTGGGGGGACTCACTATATGGGGGAATGAAGTGTGTCTGTTTACTCAAACCTTCTTTTATGTCATTTGGTTGAATTCTGTACTTTTTTTTAATGTATCTCCCAGTTTATTCTTGATTTTTTATCTATATGAAAACTTTATCTGTTTATTGTTTGCAGTGCTAGGAATCAAATCCATCATCCTGTGCGAACTAGGCAAGTATTTACCATGAACTACACCCTAAGCCTCTATTTATTTGTTTTTGTTTCATTTTGAGCAATTTTTTTGTTGTTTATGTGAACGCCATAGTTTCTTTTGTTCCATAGTCTAGCTATTATTATTTCTGTTTCCTATAACAAACGGTAGGCAGCAGTTTGTTTTTGACTAGTCACTGAGTTACTGTGGTTTTGGTATCAGACTTTGAGGCTCGGGCTGACTCCATCTACTCTAGGGCAGGCGAGCTGCTGTACTGTATTCCTGCCAGGGACGGTGGGTGAGGGAGCGGGCCTGAGGCTGTCACCCAGGGAGAACAGCCCTGGGAGGCTCAGCCCACAGTGAAGATCCAGCCATACTTACAGCCCCTTGCTGTCACCCAAGCCAGCAGAGACCCTTGTTTTTTGTGAAGTTATCTTGAGTGAGCTTTGCTGTTTTTGACTAGAAGACACTTGGAAAATGCCCAAGAGTCTCCCTTCTAATTCCAGGTTGAGAAGCGTGACTGGCGGCTTGACTGGCCTGAGACACGCCTAGTCACAGTGATGCTGAGCCTTGCTGAGACTGAGCACCCACCTGCCGCCCACGTGTTCACCGCCGAGTGCCACCTGGCTGAATGGACCCAAATACGGCTTCTTCAGGTGAGGGCAATGGTGGGCGAGGTCTGAATGTGAGTGTGCTCTGAAGGTAGAGGCCAGAATTCCTGGTGGGCTGGGTGGGGATGTGTGGGAAGGGAGATGCGGAGGTTAGGGTGGGTCTGCCCGGGAGTGGGTGGAGCATTCTGGGGTGTCAGGGCCTTGGAGGCGAGGCCTCAGTCGACATCTCCGAGGCCCTTCCTCTCTGGGCCTCTTCCTTTCTCTACTTCTTGGCCTCCATGCATCGAGCAGCTTTGCTCATAACACCTTCCACCATGATATTCCCGTCCCAGAGCCGGCCGAGCACAGTTAAAACGTGAGTCAGATCAACCTCTCCTTCTTCACACTGTGGGTGGGACTACGATAGATTTTGCCACTGATTGAGAGGCAGGAAATGATGACAGGAGCAAGGCCGGCGGGGGCGATCAGAGACTACGTTCTGGACATGTTTCCTTTGAGTTGGTGACGAGACGTCAGGGACGTCGGGACTCATGATGTGGGTTCGTTCAGCAGGGAGGACAGGGTGAAGGGCGGAGCAGCAAGTAGCCTTGGAGGCTGCCTGGTCAGAAAGCTCGGGGAAGTGTGTGGCACTTGAGGGGAGAGGAGGGCTGGGGATACACGAGGGGTTAGGCGAGGGTCTGGAGGAGGAGGAGGAAGGAGAAAAGTCAGGAGCCGCCCATCCCAGGAACCGAGGGCTGCAGTGTCAGAAGGGCAGGCAGGCTGCGCTCATCCACAGTGACAGCGACTGCCAGCCTCAGAACTCGGCGACACTGGTCTGGTGCCAAAGTGGGGAAGCCTGTGTGTCTGGGCGCCAGTCTAGGACTCGCCGGGACTATGGTTTGGCCATGTTGGGAGGAGCGTGCGTAGGAGGCTGCGGCCGTACCTTACAGCGCTAGGATTTAAGGACGGGGGGAAGAGGAACGCTGGCAAGACAGGGTCTGCCCTGCGAGTGGAGGTTGGAGCGAGTGGTGCAGGAGGTGAGGCCCGTGGGTGTCCGAGGTGGCAGGGCTGGGGAGACCCCGCAGCACGTGGCTAGCTGGGCGCTCAGACCGGGAGTGGACACCAGAGTGTAAGAGTCAGACTGGGAAGGTCTGGGGAGACAAGCAGTTAGCTCTAAGCTCAGGACCTCTACCAGGGGAGGGATTGTGGACAAAGGGCAAGCAGGGCAGCACGGATGAGACAGAAGGTGACGCTGCAGGTTCCTAGGGAGAGAAAGTAGAGCGCTGGCTGGTGTGGTGGTGGTTGGACTGCAGGGAGTTGTTGAGAGAGTGCCAGAGAAGAGGCCCTGGAAGGGTAGGTGGGTGTTTGGGAGCCATCTCCCGAGGCTGAGGCACAGGAGCAAGTGCGCAGGTTCTTGAGGACATCCAGGAGCTGGAGCTGGCCCGACCCCTGACTGGAGGCAAAGGAAGCTCCGAGAGCACCTTCAGTCTGCCCTGTCCAAGGGGGTGGAAGAGCAGGAATGAAGTGGGAGCAGCCTGCTCTGGGGCAGAACCTCAGCACGGAGTCCTGGTGGCTCGGAGTTGTCCCAGAAGTGCTGGGCCCTGGGCTGGGCCCCAGTGGTGGCCCTTTTCCCTGCCTCACAGCCGATGATGGCTTGGTTTGGCTGGTGCTCAACCATCTGCTTGGCCATGGTGGAATAATCGCGGGCCTGGCCTCTCCCTGTTCCAACTCCCAGGACTGTCCTGACCTGCCTGACCACTTGCACCCTGTTGGCTCTCTGTGCCTGGCTGCAGATCAAGTAAAATTCAGCTCTTTGACAGGGCCATAGGACCCCAGTTTCCCTCTTGGGCAGCACAGTAGGCAAATCCAGAAGATCTAGGACTGAGTGTGCGTAAGGACAATGCTGTGGGTCCCCTCCTCCTGCTTCTCTCCGCCCTACCCATGTAGACTTGCGGTCCCAACAAGCCTTTGCTATTCACATTTCTCGGATGGATTTATTTGCCCTTATTTGCATAAGAAATACTAGCTCCTCATCCTAATGAGCGGGCCCATCTGGCATGCAGGCCTCCTCCCAGGGCTACTTCTCCAAGAGCCTGAAGGACAGGCAGCCGGGTAAGGAGGCTGTTCTGCAGGATCCAGATGGGACTGTCCTGAGCAGGCTGTTGAGTTCCAGAGTTTTGCAGGCCGGGGCTTGCTGCTCCCGCGTCCATCTGTGTGCTGGCCAGGGCTGTCCCTACCCCTCCCAGATGGTTCTCGGCTGGACCAGTGCTTGTTCACCACCAAAGAAGGCATTTCAGGGTAGCCCTGCAGAAGCAGCCTCATCTCTGCTGGCTGAAATTACCCCAGCGGGGATGTGGGCGCAGAGATGGCCCTGGAGCCCAGCCAGGACAGCACCTAGCAGGTGTGTGAACAGCATCACCTGGAGAAGGCGCCTGCCTCTCTGGTCATGCCGATGACCTGCTCCCCTGACCAGGCAGTTCTGTTGGCCTAGGGGACAGAGGCAAGGGTTACCATGGGCCTGGGCACTCCTGAGGGCCATAGAGAGGCTGCCTCTGACCGGATGGGCCCCACCCCGCCTAGCTCCAGGCACCACCTCTGGTCCCCAGTGCCCATGTGGGCACAGAGCACCCTGCCGGGCCGGGTGCCCTTTGGGTCGTGGCCAGTGGCGGCTGTCTGAGCTGCTCGCCTCCCCAGCTTCCCCGGAAGTCCTGGTGCCCCATGACCATCCAGCCTCACTTAGCTGTATTTCCGGAGCTGGGCTTCTGAGCAGTGCTGCGGTAGGTGTGAACTGTCCGGCCAGGACCCAGTGTGGCGCCTGCCCGGTGTGGCAGTGTGAGGAGGTGCACGGTGAGTGGGCCCTGGCTGGTGGCACTCTGGGAGCGATGAGTGTGGTTCCCAGGGACCTGGGTGCGTTCCTATGAGAGAAGTGGTTATGAAAGAACCGGCCTGGGCCGCTCCTGCCCCCGGCTCCTTGTCTCATCACCCCCTCTCCCTGGCACGCGTGCACTCCTCCTTGGGGTCCTCTCCCGCCTGTTGCACCACATAGTGAAGGGGTGGCTAAGCTCTGGTCTCCAGAGCTGGTGCTCTGCTCTTTGGGCTTTCAGACCCCAAGGCAGGCCAAGGGGCGAGTGTGCTGCAGGTGCTCCAGCTGCTGTCACAGCCCTGTCTGTGTTTCCACCCGCCTCCCAGGACACTGCAAACTGTCCATCTGTCTCACTGCTGTGACAAAATATGTGGGACTGCACAACATATATGGAAAAGAACATTCAGCACACAGCTGGAGCGTGGCTGATAAGAGTGAGTACCTCGGTCTTAGTGTGTTTTCAGATCAAATCTCACATTTGTGTTTTCAAAACGAGCGCACTGTAGGAAGGTGCCTGATGTGCAGAGACCTCAGGCAAGCAGCCCAGCGGTTCTTTGCCCTTGTACAGTGATGCTTATTAGTGCTCTGCAAGACTCTGAATTCTGGTGGTTTTTGTTTTCTTGCGATGCTTTGACACTGCCTGATGCTTTTCAGGCGGGGGAGACACCCCTGGCTCTGAGCTAGAGCACGGGCAATTTGCCTGTGGACGCCTTTTGTGGGCAAAGTAGCTGCTCCACAGTACCCAGCCACTCTCACACCAGTGGAATATTCTCCCTGCCATAAGTCGCTCCGGGGTAAGGCGCTGGACAGCTGGGGCCACCCGGTACCCCAGAGCCCGTACCATCCTTTGGATGTTAACCACACTCCACTTGCTTTCCCGCCTCTGCTCTTGCACAGCAGGAAAGCTCTCAGGCAGGAAAGCTCCAGCCCATGCTGTCTGCTTCCTTCTGCCCTGCTGCTTCCCCATGTGGCCCTTGCTGTGCTGTGCTTCCTCCTCCTCTTGGGGATGGTGAGAGGTAATCTCTTCTCTCAAAAGCAAGGGCTCCCGCTTTGTTATCTTACTACCCTGAGTTACAGCAGATGTCAGGAGCGTGTCAAGACTGCTGCAGCCCGCACTTCCTAGTCTCCAGCTCTTCCACCCAGAGTAGCCCCTGTTCCGATTTCCACCATAAAAGAGTCTCACCTGTTCTTAGTCTTTATGTAATCATGCAGTTTGCTCCCTGTTGAATCTGACTTCTTTTCTTCAGCATAAGGAGGTTTATCCATGTTGTTGAGAATACTGTGCCCCCTGTAGTATTCCACTTATATGCATAACTATGATATATGTACTCATTTAGCTATTGGTGAGTAAGTATTGATGAATACTTATTGACGGATACTTATTGATGAAGGGGTCTTTGACCATTAGGAATGAAGTTGTTATGAACATTCTTGAATATGTCTTTAATGGGTGTACAAACTCATCTCTCCTGGGTCCAGAACAAGAGAGAAATATGTGGGTTAAAGGTCATGCATTTGTTAGGGAAAAGGAGATATTTCCAAACAATTCTGCAGTACCAGTTCAATGCTGCTTTGGTGGCCCTATGCTCCTGATAACCACCACAAACTCCAGAAACTTGAAGGATTCTTGGGCTGCTTCAAGTTGCTGCAAAGGTCCTTTGACAACCGAGACTCTCTCTGCTCCAATATGCAGATGACCTCTTGCTGGCAAGAAAAACAAACAGGACCGTTGAAAGGGCACATGGGCCCTTCTGTGGCTGTTCATGGACTCGGGCTACAAGGGGTCCTAGAAAAACACACAAGTGTGCTGACCTGCTGACCAGTACCTAGGGTTCATCATATCCAGGGGAGGCTGCTCCCTGGGAATGGAGAGAAAACAAGTCATCTGCTCCCTCCTGAGGCCTGATAGCAAAAAGAAACTCCATGGAATCCTGGGGGTGGCTGGTTTTTGCTGAATCTGGATCCTGGGGTTTTCAGAAGAGGCCAGGCCCCACTGTGCTGCCCTGATGGAACCTGAGAGTTAGCCTCTAAAATGGGAAGTGTAACAAGAATCAGCCTTCAAAGAGATCAAATGGCTCCTCATCAGCACCCCAGCATTAGGACCACTGGACATAAGCCAAGAATTTAATCTCTTTGTTCATGAAAAAGAAGTCCTGGATCAGACAGTAGGGGTCCTGGCAGGGGCCAGTGGGCCTATCATTTATTTTTATTTATTTATTTTGGTACTGGGGATCGAATTCGGGCCCTTGCGCTTGTGAGGCAGGAGGCAGAACCACTGAGCTAAATCCCAGACCCTGGCCTATCTATCTAAATACTTAGATACAGTAGCAGCTGGCTGGCCCCCTGGCTTCCGTGCCCGAGCAGCAACAGTCATGCTCATTAAGGAAGCAGATAATTGACTATGGGACGAAACCTCCGAGTAAAGGTTCCCCACTCCATTATGACTTAATGAAAAACCAAGGACATAAGTGGCTCTCAGATGCCAGAATGACACAGTTCTAAGGGCTGCTCTGCAAACCCCCCAAGTTACTTTAAAACTGTTCAGCCTATAAATCCAGCCCCCTCTCTGCCAGCTGTGGAAGCGCCTCCAGACCACAACTGAAGAAGTTACCAATGAGCTCTTCTGCAGTTGACCTGACCTCGCTGGGATGCCAGAGGCCAGACCGGGTGCTGCCTTGTTTGTGTATAGTAGCAGCTTCACACAGGACGGAGAATGGCTGTAAGGAAACACAGTCATTACCACAGACCAAATCATTGAGGCAGCCCTCTCCTGAGGGGGTTCTGCACGGAGGCCAGAGCTCTGGGCACTCAGCCAAGCCCTCTGATGGGCCAGGGGAGAGACTGTTAACATCTACACTGAGTCTAGATACTTTTCTACCACAGTCCGCTTCGTCAGGACCACATGTGAGGAAAGAGGACTGCGGACAGCAGGGAATAAAGGGATCAGAGATAAAGGAGAGGTGTTACAACTCCTGGAGGCTGTCTGGGAACCTGAGGAAGTGGCCATCATGCACTGTCAGGGGCACCAAAAGGGGCAAGATGCTGTCATCCGAGGAAATCAGAAGACAGGGCAGCAAGGGAAGCCGCCCTCGCTGTAGTGATGACACCAAGTCAAACTGAGTCCATGGAATTGGCCACACTCCCTAAAGATTACCATGATACAGAACTAGTATACACCCCAGAAGAAAATCAGTGGGCCTGACAAGAAGGGGTGTTCAAAGGCCCCCGGAACATGGTAACTCTGCCAGATCAAAGGACAGTCATACCTCGGTGAAGGGTATATGCCCTAGTTCAAGAATTCCACAGCTGGAACCACCTGGGAAAGTCTGAGGCTCTGTTGGGTCCATACTTCTACATTCCTCCTACTGTCATCCCCCTGTGCCACCATAAGCCAGTGATGCCTGACCTGCACCAGAAACAACTCCCGACAGTGACCCAAGCCAGCCTTGAGAGTCCAGTACACTGCGATGTCAACGTTTGAAGATTTAGAAATAGACTTTACTGATGTAAAACCCTGTTGGCTAAAGAAATAACTATTGGTTGTTATCTCACGTACTCGGGTTGGGCCAAAGCCATACCCACCTGGACTGAGAAAGCTAACAAAGTTGTCAGGCTCTTGCTGTGTGAAGTCGTCCCTTGATATGGACTGCCCCTAACAATGGGACGGGACAGAGGGCCAGCTTTAGAGGCCAGAGCAGTACAGACCCTTGCTGACCCGCTGAAGATCAGATTGAACCTCCATGCAGCTTACAGACTACAAAGCTCAGGGAAAGTAGAATACATGAAAGGCACCCTGAAGACCACCCTAGCCAAGTTATGTCAGGAGACCCAAGAGGTGTGGATTGACATGTTACCCCTAGGCCTACTTTGGGTCCAATACACCCCATACCATCAGGTTATTCCCTTTATAAGATTTTGTTTGGAAGACCCCCTCCCCCCAGTAATAAAGGCTTTCAGAGGGGACATCGGACTGTTGGAAGAGAACAATCTAACTCCAGAGTTGTGGGCCCTAGGCAAGATTTTCTCTCAGATTCATAAGTCTATTCCCAAGAGGATCCCTGTCTCCTCAGGTACCCCATTATAACCTTACCAGCCAGGGCACTCAGTTTGGGTTAAAGACTGAGAAAAGGAACGCCTGCAACCTATGTGGACAGGGCCTCATACTGTACTAGTCACCCACACTGCCGTTAAAGTTACAGGAGTTATCCTGTGGGTTCGTCACTTGAGGCTCAGAAAGGCCCACCCCACGGAAGTCCTGGACACTTGGACAATGTACCCAGACCCCAAGAAGCCCCTCAGGACCTGACTAAAATAGAAGATCCCGGGACTCCGCCTGACCTCAGAGACATCACCAGCAGACAGACAATAGCCCTCCTCTGGTCACACTGGAAGCTGACTAGGCCATGAATGACTGAAGCCTGAGGACCCTTTTCGCAGGACGCCTTAAATCACTCTATGCGCTGTTATCGTTATCTCTGGTTTCTAGGCTTCCTTGGACTGCTTGTCTTAATTTTCACTGTTGGCCTCGCTACAGTTGCCCAGTAGACTGGACAACTGCCCATAGGATTCTCCTAGCCTTTTCTCTTTGTTATTAGCAGTATTCTCTGTCTCCTTTAAAGATTAGTTGTTCACCTCTGACCTAACTGATAATGGCTGGTGTCAATAACCTGAAGGTGTTATTGGTCCCCATGGTGGCAGACACGATGGCCCAGACCCACGACCCCCTTACCTCTCTAACTCCATGGTCCACGCTTTACTAAACCAGGCCTACTCCAGTCTCTCAGAGACTGGCTGTGCATATCTTGGCTATGCATGTTCTGGTTATGCATATCTGCTTCCACGGAGGCCACCCCTGACTCACACGGGTTTGGTCACTGTCTGCATCGGCATATCACCCTGGCTTAGATTTTAAAAACACTCCCTCCAAGCTTATGGCTACAGTCAAAAAGGACTTCCTTAAGCAGAGAGCCAGTCATCTTCACACGGACCCAAATTTGGTCCCATCTCTACTGGTGTAAAATGCACCTTTCAAGCCCTCCTCTGCATAAAGCAGCCCTCCTCTCCAGGAGGCCTCCACTACTCCGCTATCTCAGGGCACGCTGTGACCCCAGGGCATTTGCCGCCCTCTGACTTAATACCACATTAGTCTTACACCTTCCCCAGATTGTCTTGTTGTACCAGTCTCAGGCACACGCAAACACTGCTTTGCTGGCTTGAAAAATTTCAGTCACTTTCTCATGAGTTAGCTAATGGCTTAGAAGAAATCTCCAATTCTATAGTAGACCTACAGAAAGAAATAGACTCTGTAGCTGCAGTACTCTTAAAAATTCTTGTGCCTTAGACTAACAACAGAAAAATAGGATACCTGTATCTTTCTCGGGGAAGAGTGTAGTTTCTATGTTAACAGATCAGGGGTAATTCATTAGGCTTCAGAAAGTCTCCAAGATAGAGCTGCCAAACTCCAGGAGCAATCCCAAACCCTCAGATTTTGGAGTTTCTCCTGGAGTAACTGGATGTTGTGGTTTGCCCCTCTGCTCTGGACCTTGGTCCCCATCTTGCTGATGATTTGCTTATGTCTCTTTAGGTGCCTCACAGAGTTCCTCCAAGACTGGGTTCAGGTTCTCACAATGCAGTTGGTGCATCAGCTATTGGCAAGAGCTCTCCTAGGCTATAACCCCGTTTTCTTATTTTCTTGTAGCTTCTTTCCTTTCTCCTCCCTCTTCCTTTGTTCTTTTTCTCATTTGAACATTTTCTTCCAATTTCCCAACATCTATGTATACATAGATAATGTATACATAGATAATGTATACAACATGTATACATTTTGGTCCTTATTTACGCTTTTGGTTTCTCACGCAAGAGAAACAATGTGGTATTTAGACACGTCCAATTTATCTCACTTAACAGCATGGTTTCAAGATGCATTCAATTAGCTAGAAATGTCTCAAGATTATTATTCTTTATGGCAGACTAGTACTCCATTGTATAAAAAACTCACATCTTCTTAATTATTCATCAGTTGATGCGCATTTATGCTGTTTCCAAGATTTGTATTATAAACTGTACCACCATAAATATGGGTATACACATATTGCTGTGGTATGATGGTTTTAATTCTTTTGGGATGATACCAGAGAGAGGAATAGCTGGGTCAAATGGAACCCCTAGTTTTAGTTTTTTGAGGAATCTCCACACCGATTTCTATAGTGGTTGCACCAATGTACACTCCCTCCAATAGTGGAGAAGGGTGCTTTTTCCCCTACAGACCCTCCAGCATTTGTTATTGTTTGATTTCTTGATAATAGCCATTCTCTCTGGATTGAGATGGAATCTCAGCATTGTTTTAATTTGCATCTCTTGATATTGAACATTTTTTTCATATACTTGTTTGCCATTTCTACTTATTCATCTGAGATGTGTGTATTCATTTCAGATGCTCATTTTTGGTCTGATTTTTGTGAGTTCTGTATATATGCTAGATATTAGTTCTTTGTCTAAGGAACATCTAGCAAAATTTTTTCCCCGCACTGTGGGTTGTCTCTTCATTCTGTTGGTGGTTTCTTTTGCTGTGCAAAAGCTTTTTAATAAAATGAGATCCTACTTGTTCATTCTTTATAATAGTTTTCATGCATTCGGAATTTTGTCCATAGTCTTTACCTACACCAAAGTCTTTAAGAGTTTTATTTCACCTTCCAGCAGATTTAGTGTTTCTGTTTTAATATTTAGATCTTTAATCCATTTCAATTTTAGTTTGGTGCCTGGTGAAAGATATGGATCTAGTTTTAATCTTCAGCATGTGGGAAGCCAGTTTTCCCAGCAACATTTATTAAAGAGGCTATCTTTCTTCCAGTGAAGGTGTCTGGCTCCTGTGTCAAAGTTAGTTGTGAGTATGTTTGGAGTTGTTTCTGCATCTTCTAGTCTGTTCCATTGATCCTTGGGTCTGTTTTCTTTTTTTTGCCAGTGCCATGCTGTTTTTATCACAAGAGCTTTGTAGTAAAATTTCAGGTCAGGGATTGTGATGCCCCCTGCCTTACTTTTGTTGTTCAGAATTGCTTTTGCTATTCGAGGTCTCTTCTGGTTTCAAATGAATTTTAGGATTATTTTCTCTAATTTTGTGAAATATGCTATTGGCATTTTGATTGGGATTGTATTAAATCTGTATAAGAGTCTCAGAAGGATGACCATTTTCACTATATTAGTTTTTCCTACCCAAGAACAAGGGCTGTTTTCTGATATCCTCTTCGATCTCATTTTTCAAAGTACTGTAGTTTTCCAAATAAAGGTCTTTCATTTTTGATTCCTAGATATTTCATTTTTTGGATGCTATTGTGAAAGGTGTTATTTTCCTAATTTTTCTCTCAGTGAATTTTTTTTTTTGTTGTTGTTGTTGTACCGGGGATTGAACTCAGGATTTTGCACTGGCAAAGCAGGTGGTGGAACCACTGAGCTAAATTCCTGGCCCCTAGAGTTTGTTATTTTTGTACAGGTATGCTATTAATGTTTGAGTGTTGACTTGTATCCAACTATGCTACTGATTTTTTTTTTTGGTACTGGGGATTGAACTTGGGATCTTACACTTTGAAGGCAGGCAGAGGAACCTGATTTTGGTAATTAAATGTAGAAGTCTTTTGGTGGAGTTTTTGGGGTCATCTATGTAGAGCATCATGTCATCTATAATAATGATCATTTTTTTTCTTTTCCTATCCTTATTCCCTTTATTTCTTCTCTTGTCTAATTGTCCCAGTTAATGTTCCCAGAACTATATTGAATAAGAGTGGTGCAAGTGGATAGCCATGATTTGTTCCTAATTTTAGAGTAAAAGCTTTCAGCTTTTTTGTCCATTTAGTATGATGCTGGCTGTTGCTTTGTCATAGATGGCTTTTATCAGATTGAGATAAAGACTATGTTTTCCAATTTTCTGTAGGATTTTTATCATGAATGGGTGTTGGATTTTGTCACATGCTTTTTCTCCATCTATGGAGATGATCATATGGTTTTTGTCCTTGGCTCTGTTAATATGGTGTACTACATTTTTTGATTTGTGTATGTGCAACCATTCTTGCATCCCTGGGATGGATCCTGCTTGGTCATGGTGTATGATCTTCATCATGATTTACTACATTCTCTTTGCCAGTATCTTATTGAGGATTTTCGCATCCATGTTCACTAGGTCTTCTTAAAATTTTGAGGGGTTGGGGATTTAGCTCAGTGGTTCCACTACCTGCCTTGCCAGTGCAAGGTCCTAAGTTTGATCCCTGGTACCAAAAAAAAAAAAATTTTTTTTTTTTTTTTTTTTTTTTTTTTTT